ATTGTCATTTCTCTGATGGCCAGTGATGACGAGCATTTTTTCATGTGTCTGTTGGCTGTATGAATGTCTTCTTTTGAGAAGTGTCTGTTCATATCCTTTGCCCACTTTTTGATGGGGTTGTTTGTTTTTTTCTTGTAAATTTGATTGAGTTCTTTATAGGTTCTGGATATTAGTCCTTTGTCAGATGAGTAGATTGCAAAAACTTTCTCCCATTCTGTAGGTTGCCTGTTCACTCTGATGGTAGTTTCTTTTGCTGTGCAGAAGCTCTTTAGTTTAATTAGATTCAATTTGTCAATTTTGGCTTTTGCTGCCGTTGCTTTTGGTGTTTTAGACATGAAGTCCTTGCCCATGCCTATGTCCTGAATGGTATTACGTAGGTTTTCTTCTAGGGTTTTTATGGTATTAAGTCTAATATTTAAGTCTCTAATCCATCTTGAATTAATTTTCGTATAAGGAGTAAAGAAAGGATCCAGTTTCAGCTTTCTACTTATGGCTAGCCAATTTTCCCAGCACCATTTATTAAATAGGGAATCCTTTCCCCATTTCCTGTTTTTGTCAGGTTTGTCAAAGATCAGATGGCTGTAGATGTGTGCTATTATTTCTGAGGGCTCTGTTCTGTTCCATTGGTCTCTATCTCTGTTTTCATACCAGTACCATGCTGTTTTGGTTACTGTAGCCTTGTAGTATAGTTTGAAGTCAGGTAGCGGGATGCCTTCAGCTTTGTTCTTTTGACTTAGGATTGTCTTGGTGATGCGGGCTCTTTTTTGGTTCCATATGAACTTTAAAGCAGTTTTTTTCCAATTCTGTGAAGAAAGTCATTGATAGCTTAATGGTTATGGCACTGAATCTGTAAATTACCTTGGGCAGTATGGCCATTTTCACAACATTGATTCTTCCTATCCATGAGCATGGTATGTTCTTCCATTTGTTTGTGTCCTCTTTTATTTCACTGAGCAGTGGTTTGTGGTTCTCCTTGAAGAGGTCCTTCACATCCCTTGTAAGTTGGATTCCTAAGTATTGTATTCTCTTTGAAGCAATTGTGAATTGTGAATTGGAGTTCATTCATGATTTGGCTCTCTGTTTGTCTGTTACTGGTGTATAAGAATGCTTGTGATTTTTGCACATTAATTTTGTATCCTGAGACTTTGCTGAAGTTGCTTATCAGCTTAAGGAGATTTTGGGCTGAGACGATGGGATTTTCCAAATATACAATCATGTCATCTGCAAACAGGGACAATTTGACTTCTTCTTTTCCTAACTGAATACCCTTTATTTCTTTCTCTTGCCTGATTGCCCTAGCCAGAACTTCCAACACTATGTTGAATAGAAGTGGGGAGAGAAGGCATCCCTGTCTTGTGTCAGTTTTCAAAGGGAATGCTTCTAGTTTTTTCCCATTCAGTATGATATTGGCTGTGGGTTTGTCATAAAAAGCTCTTATTATTTTGAGATACGTTCCATCAATACAGAATTTATTGAGAGTTTTTAGCATGAAGAGCTGTTGAATTTTGTCAAAGGCCTTTTCTGCATCTATTGAGATAATCATGTGGTTTTTGTCTTTGGTTCTGTTTATATGCTGGATTAAGTTTATTGATTTGTGTATGTTGAACCAGCCTTGCATCCTAGGGATGAAGCCCACTTGATCATGGTGGATAAGCGTTTTGATGTGCTGCTGGATTCGGTTTGCCAGTATTTTATTTAGGATTTTTGCATTGATGTTCGTCAGGGATATTGGTCTAAGATTCTCTTTTTTTTTGTTGTATCACTGTCAGGCTTTGGTATCAGGATGATGTTGGCCTCGTAAAATGAATTAGGGAGGATTCCCTCCTTTTCTATTGATTGGAATAGTTTCAGAAGGAATGGTACCAACTCCTCCTTGTACCTCCGGTAGAATTCAGCTGTGAATCCGTCTGGTCCTGTACTTTTTTTGGTTGGTAGGCTATTAATTATTGCCTCAATTTCAGAGCCTGCTATTGGTCTATTCAGGGAATCAACTTCTTCCTGGTTTAGTCTTGGAAGAGTATAAGTGTCCAGGAAATTATCCATTTCTTCTAGGTTTTCCAGTTTATTTGCATAGAGGTGTTTATAGTATTCTCTGATGGTAGTTTGTATTTCTGTGGGGTTGGTGGTGATATCCTCTTTATCATTTTTTATTGCAGCTATTGGATTCTTCTCTCTTTTCTTCTTTATTAGTCTTACTAATGGTCTATCAATTTTGTTGATCTTTTCAAAAAACCAGCTCCTGGAGTCATTGATTTTTTGGAGGGTTTTTTGTGTCTCTATCTCCTTCAGTTCTGCTCTGATCTTAGTTATTTCTTGCCTTCTGCTGTCTTTTGAATGTGTTTGCTCTTGCTTCTCTAGTTCTTTTAATTGTGATGTTAGGGTGTCAATTTTAGATCTTTCCTGCTTTCTCTTGTGGGCATTTAGCACTATAAATTTCCCTCTACACACTGCTTTAAATGTGTCCCAGAGATTCTGGTATGCTGTATCTTTGTTCTCATTGGTTTCAAAGAACATCTTTATTTCTGCCTTCATTTCGTTATGTACTTTGTAGTCATTCAGGAGCAAGTTGTTCAGTTTCCATGTAGTTGAGCGGTTTTGATTGAGTTTCTCAGTCCTGAGTTCTAGTTTGATTGCACTGTGGTCTGAGAGACAGTTTGTTATAATTTCTGTTCTTTTACATTTGCTGAGGAGTACTTTACTTCCAACTATGTGGTGAATTTTGGAATAAGTGCGATGTGGTGCTGAGAAGAATATATATTCTGTTGATTATGGGTGGAGAGTTCTGTAGATGTCTATTAGGTCCTCTTGGTGCAGAGTTGAGTTCAATTCCTGCATATCCTTGTTAACTTTTTGTCTCGTTGATCTGTCTGATGTTGACAGTGGGGTGTTAAAGTCTCCCATTATTATTGTGTGGGAGTCTAAGTCTCTTTGTAGGTCTCTAAGGACTTTCTTTATGAATCTGGGTGCTCCTGTATTGGGTGCATATATATTTAGGATAGTTAGCTCTTCCTGATTAACTGATCCCTTTACCATTATGTAATGGCCTTCTTTGTCTCTTTTGATCTTTGTTTATTTAAAGTCTGTTTTATCAGAGACTAGGATTGCAACCCCTGCTTTTTTTTTGTTTTCCATTTGCTTGGTAGATCTTCCTCCATCCCTTTATTTTGAGCCTATGTGTGTCTCTGCATGTGAGATGGGTCTCCTGAATACAGCAAACTGATGGGTCTTGACTCTTTATCCAATTAGCCAGTCTGTGTCTTTTAATTGGACCATTTAGTCCATTTACATTTAAGGTTAATATTGTTATGTGTGAACTTTATCCTGTCATTATGATATTAGCTGGTTATTTTGCTCGCTAATTGATGCAGTTTCTTCCTAGCATCAATGGACTTTACATTTTGACATGTTTTTGCAATGGCTTGTACTGGTTGTTCCTTTCCATGTTTAGTGCTTCCTTCAGGATCTCTTGTAGGGCAGGCCCAGTCATGACAAATTCTCTAAACATTTGCTTGTCTGTAAAGGCTTTTATTTCTCCTTCACTAATGAAACTTAGTTTGGCTGAATATGAAATTCTGGGTTAAAAATTATTTTCTTTAAGAATGTTGAATATTGGCCCCCACTCTCTTCTGCCTTTTAGAGTTTCTACTGTTAGATCTGCTGTTAGTCTGATGGGCTTCCCTTGGTGTGTAACCTGACCTTTCTCTCTGGCTGCTCTTAACATTTTTTCCTTCATTTCAACTTTGGTGAATCTGGCAATTATGTTTCTTGGAGTTGCTCTTCTCTAGGAGTATCTTTGTGGCGTTCTCTGTATTTCTTGAATTTGAATGTTGGCCTGTCTTACTGGGTTGGGGAAGTTCTCCTGGATGATATCCTGCAGAGTGTTTTCCAACTTGGTTCCATTTTCCCCCTCACTTTCAGGCACACCAGTCAGACGCAGATTTGGTCTTTTCACATAATCCCATATTTCTTGGAGGCTTTATTCATTTCTTTTTACTCTTTTTTCTCTAAACTTCTCTTCTTGCTCCATTTCATTCATTTGATCTTCAGTCACTGATACTCTTTCTTCTAATTGATCGAGTCGTTTACTGAAGCTTGTGCATTTTTCACGTAGTTCTTGTGTCATGGTTTTCATCTCTATCAGTTCTTTTAAGGTCTTCTCTGCATTGATTTTTCTAGTTATCCATTCATCCATTCTTTTTTCAAGGTTTTTAGTTTCTTTGCGCTGGTTACGTAGTTCCTCCTTTAGCTCTGAGAAGATTGATCGACTGAAGCCTTCTCTCAACTCGTCAAAGTCATTCTCCATCATCTTTGTTCCATTGCTGGCGATGAGCTGTGTTCCTTTGGAGGGGGAGATGTGCTCTGATTTTTTGAATTTCCAGCTTTTCTGCACTGCTTTTTCCCCATCTTTGTGGTTTTATCTGCCTTTGATCTTTGATGATGGTGACGTACTGATGAGGTTTTGGTGTGGGTGTCCTTCCTGTTTGTTAGTTTTTCTTCTAACAATCAGGACCCTCAGTTGAAGGTCTGTTGGAGTTTGCTTGAGGTCCACTCCAGACCCTGTTTGCCTGGGTATCAGCAGCAGAGGCTGCAGAAGATAGAATATTGCTGAACAGCAAGTGTTGCTGTCTGATTCTTGCTCTGGAAGCTTCATCTCAGGGGTGTATCCCACCGTGTGAGGTGTGAGATGTCAGTCTGCATCTAGTGGGGGATGTCTCCCAGTTAGGCTACTCAGGGATCAGGGACCCACTTGAGCAGGCAGTTTGTCCATTCTTGGATCTCAACCTCCATGCTGGGAGATCCACTGCTGTCTTCAAAGCTGTCAGATAGGTGCATTTACGTCTGCTGAGGTTTCTGCTGCTTTTTGTTTAGCTATGCCCTGTCCCCAGAGACAGGAGACTACAGAGGCAGACCGGCCTCCTTGAGCTGTGGTGGTCTCCACCCAAATCGGGCTTCCTGGCAGCCTTGTTTACCTACTTAAGCCTCAGCAATGGCGGGCACCCCTCCCCCAGCCTTGCTGCCACCTTGCACTTAAATCTCAGACTTCTGTGCTAGCAATGAGGGAGGCTCCGTGGGCATGGGGTCCTCTGGGCCACATGTGGGATATAATGTCCTGGTGTTCCATTTGCTAAGACCCTTGGTAAAGCACAGTATTAGGATGGGAGTTACCCGATTTTGCAGGTGTTGTGTGTCTCAATTTCCTTTGGCTAGGAAAAGGAATTCCCTTCCTCCTTGCGCTTCCCAGGTGAGACGATGCCTCACCCTGCTTCAGCTCTCGCTGGTCTGGCTGAACCCTCGGACCAGTGCCAACTGTCTGACATGCCCCAGTAAGATGTACCCGCTACCTCAGCTGAAAATGCTGAAATCACCCGTCTTCTGTGTCACTCATGCTGGGAGCTTGAGGCTGGAGCTGTTCTTATTTGGCCATCTTGAGCACACCCCTCCACAAAGGTATAAATCTTTGTGACCTTGAACTATGTAATAGTTTCCTATATATGACACCAAAAGCACAAGTAACTAAAAAAAGTAAATTGGAATTCATCATGAGTAAAATCTTTGGCATATCATAATTCAAGTCTTTGAAGAAAATTTTTGCAAATTGTATATCTGATAATAATATAGCACCCACAATATATTTATTTTCAAATTTATTCTTATCTTTATTGCTTTCCTTCTGCTAAATTTGAGTTTGGTTTTTTCTTCCCTTTCTAGTTCCTTGAGGCATAATGTTAGACTCTGTATTTGCAATCTTTCTTTTTATAATGTAGGCATTTATTGATATGAACTTTCCTCCTAAAACTGCTTTTGCTGCACATCATAGGATTCATATGTTGTTTTCCTTGTCATTTGTCTCAATATATTTCTAAATTTCCCTTTTGATTTCTTCTTTGACTCATTGGTTGTTCAGGAGCATACTGTTTACTTTATATATATTTGTCAATTTTCCAAATTTTCTTATTATTGATTTCTAGTTTCATACTGTTATGATTGGGAACAATACTTGATGAATTTGATCTTAAATTTGTTAAGACTTATTTTGTGACCTAATAATTAAACAATTAAAAAACAATTAAAAAGCAAGGCAATTAAAAATGGGTAAAGGATTTCCATAGACATGTCTCCAAAAGGAATACACAGGGGCCAGTAAGTACATGAAGGAATGCTCAACACAATTAGCCATCAGGGAAACAGAAATCAAAACCACTATTAGGTACAACTTCACAACTCCTGAGATGGCTGTAATTTTTGAAAAAATAAGAAAATAAGTTGTGTTAGTCTGTTTGATCTGCTATGACAAAATACTTTTGATTGGGTAACTTATAAACAAGAAAATTTTTTTGCTCACAGTTCTGGAGGCAAGGAATTCCAATAATAAGGGTCTTGTGTCTGTTGAGGGCTCACTCTCTGTTTCATAGTTCATGCCTTCCCACTGTGTCCTCACATAGTGGAAGGGGGCTAGCTAGCTCTGCAGAGTTATTTTTATAAGGGCAGTAATCTCATTCATAAGGGCAGAGCCCTTATCAGCTAATCACCTGCCAAAGGCCCCAACTTTTCATACTATCACATTGATGATTAGGCTTCAACATAACAATTCTGGGAAGACATAAACACTCAGTCCATCCTGCACAAGTGTTGGTGAAGATATAGAGAAATTGGAGCCCTCATGCATTTTGGTTGAGAATATAAATTTATTTCTGCAACTGTGAAAACCAGTTTGGTAGTTCATCAAAATGTTCAACACAAAGTGGCCATATGACAGCAAATCTGGTTTTCACCCAAGATGATTTAAAACATGGCCACACAAAGACTTCTACACAAATGTCCACAAAGCATTGTTTATAACACTTAAAAGACAGAAACATTCCAAATGTCCATCAACTGAAGAATGGATAAACAAAATGTGGTATACCTACAATGGAATATTATTCAGCCATAAAAGCAACAATGTACTGATACATGCTACAATGTTGATGGGCCTTGAAAGCATTATGGTAAGTGCAAGAAGCCAGTCAAAAAAGATCACATATGATTCCATTTATATTTGATGTCCATAAAATCAAGACTACATAGGCAGATAGTAGATTAGTTGTTGATTAGAATGGGAGAGGGAGAGGAAAGAGAGTAGAAGGATGATAACTAAAGAGTTCAGGGTTTTTTTAGAGGTAATTAAAATGTTCTTAAATGAACTGGAGTGAGGATTGCACATATCTGTGAATATATTACAAACCATTAAGTTGTCCATTTTAAAAAAATAAATTGAATGATATATGAGTTATATCTCAGTAAAGCTGTCATGAAATCAAAAGAAAAACATGTGTAGACAAAATACATATTGGTTTAGGCTTGTACTTTGGCTAGGATCTAGCAGAGCATTGAGACTGTTAGTCCCACTGGACTGCTTTCAATGGAGGAAAAAAGATATTTACAATAAAAAACTGAGGTGCTGTTATTAAAAGAAGGTGGGCTGAATGTATAAACTCCTCCAGTAAATTATAATTTTACTTACAATAAAATCCTAATATGTTACCATAGACTACAAGGCCCTAGATGGCCCATTTTCACCTGCCTCTCCAATTTCATCCTCTTACTTCTCTTTCTTCTCCTTCTTCTTTTTGCATCTCCTTGGACACCTTAAGGTCATTTATACCTCAGGGCATTTTTATTTGCTGTTCCCTCTACCTGCAGTGCTTTTCCCCCAGGTATTTACATGGATTTCTTCTTCTCATCACTCAATTCTCAGACCACAGGTTATCTTTTGAGAGAAGCCTTCTCTGACCACCCTCATCACAGTTGCTGGCCATTTTACCACTTTGTCTTCATAGACATTGTTTTTATTTGATAATATTTTTATTATACTTATGTGTTTATTTTTTTTTCTCCTTGTCATCTGATAAATGTCAGCCCTACGAGAGCAGGAGCCGTGATTATTCTATTCAGCAAGATGGTCTCAACCTCTAGCATAGGGATTAGCACATAGTATAACCTCAGGAAGTGTTTGTTAAATGAACTAGTAGCTTAAAAGTCCCAGACTTACAGAAAATAACCTCCTTTCTGTACTGCATGCTATTACATTTCTTTTAAAACAGAGCAGTGAAAAGGAGAATAGAATCTCCAATTCCATCCAGGCATTGAAAAAAACCCTAAAGGAAGTTAAACCAGTGCTGCGAATGGGACCTAGGGAGCCACTCTCTGGGAGGCTGTGGCCCAACACATTTCTTCCCTATTTATTTTCACACTCTCAAATTCAATCCTTTCTGTCTCTGTCTTTGTAATGTAGACACATATAATAGGTAGTTAATTGGGACCTCATCTGCTATATGTTTCTTTTTTCATGAAAGCAACTGTCCACATCACTGTTCATAGGTTAACTCAATTCCTTCTCTTTCTTCAAAATATTTCTAATTTGTACCTGTTTATACTGTGTTGCCTGGTGTTAGCATGCATAAAAGAACTTGGTTGCCACCCCTCTCCTAGAGGCATCTTAAAGTCCGAAACAGAGTTCTAGTGTCCATGGCAATCTTTGAAATGGTTATGGGGTCATGGCTCAGAGGCTGCAGCCAACCTGAGAAAGGCAACACAAGAAGGTGTGTGACAGATGACAGATTGCTGCTGCTGAGTTGGCTCTGAGACCTGGCCTAGCCCTTGGTGCTGAATGAATGAGTGTCAGATGCCCACCTGCATAGAGGGAATTACAACACATAAGCACACTCATTCATGGGTGGTCCAGTGCTGAATGCCTTTCTGCATTGTACTACCTCTCTATCAGCAGCCTGGTCATGCATGAATAAACAGTTACTGGTTCCAGTCAATCCTGACAGCTCATTGGAGTGGTGGAAATGTGCTGGGACTCTATTCTTGGAGAGACTTTAGGTAATCTATACCAGTAGGGGAACAGCTACTAAGCCGTTGTCTTGGTGTTCACTAACCATTTAAATGGGAATTACCTTTGGATAAACCAGTGAGGACAGCCTTGAGCCAGGAAGTCCTTGACTCAGAATAGGTTTCTTTTTGTCTCAGCCACAGGATCTTGGAGACCTGTAGACCTATTAAACCACAGGTCTATGGATGAAATTTTTGGGATTCAGGTTGCAACCTTACTGGAGAAAATAAGACGGGAAAGTGGAGGTAGCTAGTTGTCTCATTTTATTTTCTGTAACTATGACAGAATACCCGAGAATGGGTAATTTATAAAGAAAAGAAATTTATTTGTTACAGTTGTGGAGGCTGAACATTCCAAGAGCATGGCACTGGCATCTTGTGAGGGCCTTCTTGCTGTGTCAAAACATGGTGTAGGACATCACATGGTGAGAGGGTAAGAGCATGCATGTCATACCAGGTCTCTCTTGCTCTTCTTATAAAGCTACCATGATGATTTTATGTAATCCTTAGTAACTCCCAAAGGTCCCACCTACAATAAAAATGTGAATTAGTGTATTAAGTTTTCAAACACATGAAAATTGGAGGACATATTTAAGCCATAGTACTAGTAGTCTAGGTTTGTAAAGCCTGACTGAGTTATTCCCTCTGAGATTGTTTCCCCTCCTTGCCTCACTGGAAATGGTTTAATTGGTTATCCTGTTGGCACAAACTGCCCAGACTTTGCATGTCTATTTTCAGGATTGGATAGGAGCCCTTGGAAGAGCAGCCCTTCCTATGGGCAAGGCCCTGAAACCACTAGCCATTTGCTCTACCTTATCTTTCTCCCCTGAGGATTTGAAGGTTTAGTGCCACATTTAGACACATGCAAAAATAACCCCTATATGGTCTCTGTGCTTTAAAGAACCTTACTCTGAAAAGGAGAGAGTGGACCTGAGGAGATGTAACCACACAGAATCCTTGGATCACCTTCTAGATCTGAGTGGGCACCTGGGAAGCTGGAATTCCCTGCCTAAATGTTCACAAGCCCATTCCTATTTCCAGAGAGTTCACGGACTCCATTCCTGGGTGTGTATTCCTGGGGACACACATACACGCGTGCACACACACACACATTTATGTGATTACCTGTATGCTTAAGGGGTTTCTAGGAGGCAGCTGTTTGTTATCTGGGGAGAGTGTGGATGAAACTTAGAAGCATGGACTATAGGGGCCCATAAAACATGTGTAAGGCCCCTCAAAATGAAGGGTGAACCCAGAATAGGAAGAGAAGAGAGACAGGTGGGCCAGTTACTGGGGTCTGG